CTGCCATGACTCAGGAGACAGTACTTTTAAAAAATTATTTATTTTGTGGCAGCCTACACACCTCTAAGCTATACATAGGAAAAAATTAATTGGATATTAAGGGAGTTCAGATATCATGAGTATGGCAGATGGACCCACAGCAGTTGTAGCACTGTCTTTAAGCTGGCTAAAATGTTTGTAGAATGAACACAAAGGAAGATAATAAATACCCATCCCCAGGCACCTGTTATTTGACAAACTGAAATGTGAGCTGTGGGTCAGAATAAAGACCTGCTTATCCAAGCATAAATCTGGAGCACTGGTATTTAAAGAACAAATTATATTCCATATGTGGCATACTGCTTACCAAGAAGTCAAAGTGAACAACTATTAACTGTTATCCTAGGCATTGTTTCATAATAAAGTGAGATAAAATAATTCATAAATCCAGAGAGATACAACAGTGATGTATAAGCCATGTCTAGTCATCTATTCAGCAGAAGAAAATGTTACTATGGGAGTAAACTTTTAAATGGAGGATCCGAGAACCTACAAAAACTAGGCAGACACATGCTGCTCTAATCTCATTTGTCAGTAAAGACAAATCCAAAAGATAATGATAAATATAAGCATTTTGAGAAAATAGTGTTCTATAAATTGATAAAAGTGTTAACAGAAGTATCAGTTTAAAAGAGGTTTTTCTCACTAATATTTTTAATGTAAAAGCAATCATACAAATTATCCAGAATGTATCCAAGCAGCAAAAAGATAGGCAGGAGACCAGACCTACTTACCAAATTCCTTAGGAACAGTGATAGAGTAAACACAGTTGTGACCAACACTATAATTCTTGGGGTAGTTTGGTGATAATACAGTCCCTTCAGAGCCTGTTGACCGGCTTCCACAGGGTGCTGGAAAGTGAAGATAATCAGTTTTTAATAATGTAATATTATATGTAAAAAAAAATCAGTTTAAATTGATTTGTTGTGTGTTGGTATATGATGTTGCAGGAAATTTTATTACACATCTGCCCTGGATTAAATTTGTGCATCCTGTGACATACTGAGAATGTGCGACTTTCTCATATATCAAAAAAGAATTGATGGCACTCTGTAGTTTTCTAGATCAATTTTTTTTTCTTTATTATTTATCAACCATCTTAATAAATAAATTATGGGCTTTATACACAGTATGCTATTATTTACAGCATACAAAACCATTATTCAATCAAATGATGCTTTATACTATAATAAAAGCACAGATTATGCAGCCCTTCTGCACACTGGTAAATTCTTACTCATACCAATAGACTCATAATTCAAAATAATGTCTACAACTACTGAAATAAGAAAGTCAGGATTCCTTGGCTGACCATGATGTACCACTTATTTATATCTCAATTACTTATAACTGTATATATATAAAGTTATGAGCACACACTTTTCTTTATCACACAAACATCATGTTTATTCTACCATTAACAGCTATAATACTTGATAAAATGGCAGATAAATAACAATGCTATTAACCACAATAATGTATTTTTCTAAGGTTTACAACAAAACTTAATATTTGTCATTATTCAAAACTGTCAAGGCAGAAACAGTGTTATTTCTTCTTTTTCTTCATGAGATGTCAGGGTGATTATTCAGTGTTAGTGTTTTCCTATGTCTATGACCTGCTTTTCTTAAACACCTAGTGATTTAGGAGTTTATTGTCAAGACTGTAGCATATCTTTGGAATATTCTTTCTAACTGTTTTGGACTATAAAACATTTTTTAATGAGTTTAATGTCATCTATTTAACAAATTATTTCCTGTTGAGATGTGAATTTATAAATTAAGTAGTACTCAATGTTTCATTTGCTAAACACATCTGGGTTTTTTTGAGGTATTCTCTCAAAACTTTAATATGTTGTGCATTATATTAAATAAGAAAAAAAATGGTTTTCTTACTATTATTGCAGAAGGGTTTATGTCATTACTTGGCATACTAAATACAAGATATTTCTTAGTCTATCTAAATATCATGTGTTTTGAAACTCCTTAAATCACACAAAATGTTTGGTGGAGTATACCATGAAAAGAATACATCTTTAAAATGTAGCAACTTAAGGCCCCATCACTCTGAGAATGGATTTCTGTAATTTTCATTAACATGGATTCCTTTCAGTATGGTGCATCTACAGACTTTGACAGACTGTACCTGAAACAGGAGCAGATGGTACCTATTGCTCCAGTCTGCATACACAATTTGGAAATGATTTAATGGGCTAGTGTGAAAGTCATGGTATTTGAAATATGTCAATAGAAGAATCTCGACTTTTGCTTGCAAAACTGTTGATAGTTGTGATAGATGTGACACATATATTTGAGTTAAGCAAATCAGCCAGGGCCCAGAGCAGGACACAGTCTTGGCGGTGCTCCATACCATGGATAGGCACACTCTGAGACACGGAGCGAGCACTAAGACTATCATATGTACACAGAATATTGTTATGTGGCTAAAAGAATTATCTTAGCATCTTTCCTCAGTCCACCATCATGTAAAATATAAGAAATTCACACTTTCCTTTTAAAACATGTTTAGATAATGGAACTATTGGACTTTTTGCTAAAAAGTAGTAAGAATCTTGGCTGACTCTCATATGCATAGATGTATTTGCCTTGAGTTACTGGAAAAACACAAAGTAAAAAATCTTCACTACTTGAATGTGGCAAATAGTTTTGATGAATTCAGATCTGCTTACTAGCTTCTAAGTACTCAAGATTTTCTATTCCAGATTTTGGATGAAATAGAAGAGAATATGGAAGAATATAAGCAACAAAAGCATTAGAATAAGTGAAATAAGACTGTCAGAAAAGCTTATTACTTATCTCTAACTCCATTTCCTTACTGTTCGTGAGTTGCATAAATAAGCCACTGCAACAAAGACCAATAATGTTGTCCCACTCCAGCAGTCATATCACTCTTATCCTTTCCTAATCAGCAGATATAAATAATGTGTAAATTTAAGGTAAAACTATAATTCCACTAAAGTCAAGGCCATTGACAGAACTTCACCCTTAATGAAACTTTCAGACATGTCAAACAAAAACCAATATTTAAAGTTAATAGCTATGAATTTAATCCTCAAAATATAGTGGATCTTTACCTGTAAAGAAAAAAAACCATTTTTTTAATACTCTAATTCTTTCTTATTCTTACAAGCTATGCATTCAATAAAGGTATCTTTGTAATTATAAAGAGGGATTTTACAAAACTATGCTTAAACCAGAGCAAAAAATAGTTTCCTGTGTATATATCTAGACAAAATATTTCATGATAATTGAAAGGTGATATTATCACAGATGGTATAAAAAAAAAATCACAAAAATAATTTCACTGACAGATGCATATAGATCTCTAAAAGGGATTAAACCCAACAATTTTTACAAATTAAAAAAAAAAAAATCCCAACCAACCTAACACCAAAAAAAAACCCACAAAACCTGTGGGAGGAACATGATGAATGTGTGAGCAATTTATATTGTGTGTGGTACTTTTATAGACTTTTATAAACTTTTACATAGTTTTATAGGTACTATAAGTTATAGGTCCCAAGATGGCTGCGGGTGTCTTTTCGAGAACAAAGAGAAATTGGTGCCAAGAAGAAGGTGGAGTTCGATAAAGTAAACAATTGCCTTGTTATCTGTTAATAACCAATTATAAAGGTATTTGTAATGTATGTTTACAGCTGGACAGTAGCCTGTAACCAACTGTATGCTTCTTGTCACGAGACCTTGTATACAGATGCTATAAAAACCCTGAGCTATCCTAATAAATCGGACATATTTTAGATCTCATAGATCGTGTATGTATGTTTTGGAGCCTCCCCGTCAAAAAAAAACCAAGCCAAACAAAACCAAACAAAAAAACCCTGCACAAAACAAGATCTTTCACCTTTAAAAATCTGAGAGTTCTCATTAATACTGAAGTCTGGTTAAAATAACTTAAGAGACTCTAAAAGGTGAAGATAATACCATTTTCTTTTACAGTTGATAATAATTAAAATGTCTATATGACACACTGAAACATCTTCATGTTTTCCTCATGCTCTGAATTCTATGAAAGAATCATACATCTGCACTGGATTTATAGTGGGCATATATCCGTTCACACAAGAGGATCTGGCACAGAGCTTTTCACACAAGAGGAAAAGAGATGAAGTGCAAGTCTGGAACTACAGTTTCCAGCAGGGATCTTTCAGGTACAAAGACTCTCAACAAGAGGTGTCTGCAGCCTTTGCTACAATGTGCTCAGTACAGGCTGGAGTAAGGCATGAACTCTCTGTCACTCTGACAAATGCAAAATTTAATATGCAGCAGGAACAAAATACTTGCATTGAGTATTTCATAGTTATTTCTCATTTTTTCCTCTGCCCCTTCTGAGTTTACCTTTTCCCTTACTGCCTTATTTTCCACCTGCTTCTATAATGGCTCTTTACCTTCACAAAAATTCACATTCCTGTGTCTCAATAACAACTAGCATAAATGAAAGTTGCTTCAAGATGTAAGCACCCAGTTGACCTTTGCAAGCTTAGAAAATGTTTAATCTAAATCATTAGGTGGTAAATCATTAAGTTCTTATAGCAGCCAGACTGCCCTGATAGATATTTCTGAAAGTATTAGTAGGAAGGAAGATGTTTGCTTGATAATTTAGTAAACTCATAGATTTCACGGACTATATTTCCTTCCTTAACTTTTGGGAAATGTCTACTTTAAAATCCAGAAGTTTGCAGAAGAGGCAATTCTACTCTGATGATCACTAATCATTAATGTTCAGAAATTAAAGATTAATATGAAACCATATCTACAGTGAATTGTTAATCTTAACCTGATACAAAAATAAAATATTCCTTTGCCTCTGGAAAACATCTAGCACCAGCTTCTTTCAATAGATGTAAAAGTTCCACTACTACCATGCTAGCCATTGACTTTCACTTTTATTGCAGCTAAGTAGATCCCATTGTCTTTGCTTCAGTTTTATAGTAGAATGATTTAGTTTCCTAAAAAAGTAAAAAACTATAAGTTCTGAAAATAAACTTGTCTAATTATTATGCTATACACTGAAAATCTACCTACAGTAAAAAGTCCAGCAAATCCATTACACCCACAAATACAAACTATTAAAACAAATGAAAACAAACAAACAGAAAAGCAAAGGCAAAAAATTATGAGAACCATTCCTCTGGGAATGAAAAACATCCTGCAGAATAAAACAAACCAAACAACCAGAATAAAAAAACGACTTCAGGAGGCAAATTATATTTTCTAATGTAATTCTACAATAATATTTTAGTATTTTTTAATAATATTTGCTTGAACACTGAAATACTGTATCATTTTATGTATTTACTTATGCTCTAGCTCCTTCCAGCTTATTCCCAGAAATGTTATCCAATATGCTGTCCTTATTCTGCCTTCCAGGGTCAGCAATGGAGCACTACCAGGGGAAAAAGGGACTTGGCACCAGCAAGATGTGATAAGAATCAGCGTGTTGATGCATTGCTCACTGTTTCCTTGAAACATTATTAGCATTAATGGCAAAAAGTTCCTCTGTGTGCTGAACTTTAATAGTACCTTGCCTTGTAAAATAGCGTCCCCTACAAACCTTGAAAAACCCTTTCACAGCAACAATGAAGTATTACCCATTCTGTATCTAGATTGGCAAGCTTTTTTATCTGGAAGATTACCCACCTTGACATTAGCATTCATGCACCTTTTTCAAAGAACTAAATTCTACCCCTTCATGGCAATGCATTAGTAAATGGAGAATACAATATAAAATGCATTACCATCATCAGTGAAACCTTTTATAAAATTTCAGCATTCACTAGTTGTAAAAGAAATGTAGATGAAAACCACAGAGG